GGGAAGTGGGTTTTTTTTTTTTTTTTTTTTTTTTTTGGTATTGGGGATTGAACTCAGGGGTGCTGTACCACTGAGTTACACCCCAAGCCCTTTTTATGTTTTATTTTTAGACAGTTTCTTAAATTGCCAAGGCCAGCCTTAAACTTGGGATCAGTCCTCCTGCCTCAGCCTCCCAAGTTGCTGGGATTACAGGAACATGCCACCATGTTCAGCCTCCCCAGGGATTTTTTCTTTTAATAAACATATACATACTAGGGATTGAGCCCAGGGGCCCTTAGCCATTGAGCTACATCCCCAGCCCTTTTAATATTCTATTTTGAGAAAGGGTCTCACTAAGTTGCTCAGAGCCTTGCTAAATTGCTTTGAACTTGCGATCATCCTGCCTCAGCCTCCCGAGTTGCTGGAATTACAGACCTGCACTACCACACGGGGTTCCCCAGGGAACTTTTAAATGACCCTGTGGCTGAGAGCTCGGGCAGTTGTCTTACCTCCAGCCTTAGGTTCCATACTTGTCACAAGGGGTTCTTAAGACCTGCCCCCAGGGCTGATGTGAGGATTGGGAGGACACACACAGGGCCTGGCACACAGTGGCCCCTTCACAAACACCCCCTGTTATACATGATGTGCATCGAGGTCGCAGGGAGCAGCTGGGGCTCTCCACGCTCTGGACACCCTGTGCCTGGTGCTGCTTAAGGAGGGCAGAGCTGAGCAAGAACCCATCCTCCATGAATTACTCAGGCCAGCCTTGAAACCCCCACAGCCTGCCTCCAGAAGCCCATTCTGAGACCTTCTGCTCTGGACCCTTTACTTTCCCCCCCACACGCTATCTTTTGATCTGTAATCCCAAGTAAGCCTTGGCCAAAAGCCTTGCCACCCCCACCCCCATTAAAATAAAATGCTAATCATAAGACACCAATTAACCCTCATTAAGAAGAAAGAAACCCAGAAAGGAACCCAGGGGTTAACAAGTAATGGTGAGCATTTGCAGAATGGAGTCCTTGTATACAGCTGGTGAGAATATAAAATGTAAAACAAATACCATATGATCCACTTTTGGATCTATACCCTCAAAAGTCAAAAGGAGGAACCCAAACAAAGGTATGTGTACATCCATGTTCATAGCAGCATTTATTTACAGTAGCCAAAAGGTAGAAATGACCCAAGTTTTCTCTGACAGATGAAGGCACAGATGAAATGTGGTATAGACATGCAACGGATGTTATCCAGCCTTAAAAGGGAAGGACAGCATGGTGCGTGACTATAATCCCAGAACTCAGGAGGCTGAGGCAGGAGGATCACAAGTTCAAGGCCAGCTTCAGCAATTTAGCATGACCTTGTCTCAAAATAAAAAATAAAACTGTGGGGGATGGAGCTCAGTGGGAGAGCACCGCTGGGTTCAGTTCTCAGTACAAAAAAAAAAAAGAGGGGGGAAGACCTTCTGACACTTGCTGCAACCGGGAGGGACTGTATGCTTCTGCTCGCGAGAGGCACCCGAGAGGTGGAATTCATAGAGACAAAAAGTTGAGCGGTGGTTCCGGGGGTTAGGGCTGGGAGTGGTTTGGTGGGAGGAAGCTGGAGCTCTGCAGGGTACAAACAGAGGCCCCTGGGGCTCTCAGCCTGGAGGGTGCAAGGGTCTCCGGAAGGGACAGGAAGATTGGATGGGTTGACGTCCCCTACCACCCAGGGCCAGGTCATCAAGGGGCCACTGCCTGTGGCTCAGCTGCTCTGCCTGGGCAGGTGGCCCCTGCCAGCCCCCAGGGTCTTGGCGACGGTCCCAGGGGAGGGGCTCATGGCTTCCCTGGGCCTGGGGGCCATGCAGGTGGCACTGGCCCCAAGCCTCCTCCAGGCTCACCCTGCCCACCCCAGTCACTGTGTTCCCCTCAGCTTTTCCAGGAACTCCGGGAGGGGAATGTGCTCCATCTTCTAGAAGCCACACCTTTCCCAGAGGCACAGAGTGCCAGGTCTGGAAGGGAAGTTAGAGGAGTCTTGCTCCAGGTCGGGGCTGAGGTCCAGAGATGGCAAGGGACATACAGGTCACATATGAGGCTGGCATCTCCCAGAAGCAGCTTTGTGCCCTTGCCTCCCCCCCACCAAAAAAAAAAAAAAACTGGCACATTGTAGGCTCCAGCCATCAGCCCTGCCTCACTCACCCTGGAGCCTGACCCACCCATCGGCCACCCTGGTGGCCCACGCCATACCTGCCATGGGGATGGCCCAGATGTCCACTTCCTGAAGAAACCTCAGCTGGGGCTGGGCTGTAGCTGCCACCCAAGGGGCCCTGCCTGCCGGGTGGGTCGCCCGCTGCCCCACGTCTGCTTGTCTGCCCAGCACTGCAGCTCGGCTTGGGCACACACGGTCCTCGGTGCAGTCTGTCCTCGTCTCCTGGTGAAGTTCTCCCCTGCTGCTGTGCACCTGGTCTCTGCAGGTGAGACCCTGGCTCGGGGGTCTGCAGGGTCCCTCTCCAGGCCACCCTCCGACTGCAGTGTCTGAGGCTGGGCCACTGGCGGGGCTGGTCCAGCTCCAGGGGCGGGTGCATGCAGGAGGGGGCAGTGGGAAGGCTCTGACGTCACGAAGCCCCCTCCCTCCCAGTCCTCCTCCCTGGCTCCCTCCCTCCCCCAGCCAAGAGCCTCCAGCCATTCCTGATCAATGGGCCCAGGTGCAGGTGGGAGTGGGGAGCCCAACTTGAGGACAGGCTCTGTGTCCCCAGAGGCCCCATCTGGCTGGAGGGGTGGTCGACGGGGCCTTGGGGAGACTGAGAGGGAACAGTGGTGGCAGGAGATGAGGATTGATGGCAAAAGTGGTGCCCCCCCTTAGGACCCAGACCCTGGCCCTGGGCCCCTGGCAGGGCCTGCTGGTGTGAAGTCAGGGAGGGACCTGAGCAGGAACCGCAAGGGGCAGCAGCCGAGAGTGTGGCGACACCGAGCCCCCAGCCTGGTGGGAGGAAGGTTGGGTCCTCCTGACGGATGGCCTCAGGAGCCAGGGGACACTGGCAGGTCCCTGGCCGTCCTTGTACCTCACTCTTCCTAACTGACCTCAGCGAATCATGTCTTCCACCCGGGACAGCCCAGCCCAGCCTGGGGGCAGCAGGCCTTCCCCGCCTGGAGCAGGGGACAGTACCCTTGGTGATGGTCCCTATAGTCCTGATGAGTACAAGTGGAGTCTCTGAGGCTGCCCTGGGCACAGACCTTTGAGTGGGTGTCCGTTCTGCCTAGAAGTCCATCTCTGTTGACTTGACCCCTTCTCCAGGCAGTCCTGGCCTGTCCTGGGCTAGGCATTCAGAGGCCAGCACTTGGGGACTGCAGGGTCCCAGAGGGAGGTAGAGCAGCGGCTTCCCCTGAGCTGATCCCTGTGCCTTGGCCGAGATGCTCTTGGGCCACGGAGTCCGCGCCTGGCTGCCCTGGGTCAGTCCACCCTGGGCTGGAGCCCCCAGGCGGCGCCGGGACCCCACAGCTCCTCCCAGAGTCTGGCGTATGATGTCTGGCTGAGGAAGCCCCACCCTAAAAAGAAGCACCGGGGACAGGAGACAGGGGTGGGAGGGGCTGCTTCTCTCTGATCCTGCCCCAGCGGACCCTCTTCTCCCTGCAGCTCAGGGATGCGCGCTGGCTCAGTCCCCTGTGTCCCACATCCCAGCGTGCAGGGCCACAAGGGCCCAGGGCTGTGAAGGGAAGAGCACCCATCGCCCCACGGCCCCGCGGGAGGAGGGCTCTGTGCAAGGTGGAGGGTCCCACTGGCCTCCAGGGCCACCCAATGAAGTGTGGCTGTGCCACCCTGTCCCAGGCTCCCAGTGTGGGGGGTGAGAAGAGGGGGTGATGGAGAGGGCGGGGGTCGTCCTGGCCCAGGCTCCCTTCAGCCTAGACGCCCGGGAGTGGCCCGCCTGGGGCTCTGCGGGCTCCTGATGGTGTGCACAACTGTGACCTGTGTGTTGGAAACACCCCGCACCCACACGGGCACGCGCACCCCCCCGCCCCCGCACACACGCACGCCTGAGCGCTGGGGCTTCCCGCAGACACCGCCTGCGCACAGCAGGCACCCGCTGGCTGCCCTTCCGCCCCAGGCGCCCGCTGGCCCCTGCCCCTCATCCATCTCGCCTGCCGGCCTGTCCCTGGCGCCCTCGTGTCTTTCACACCTTCTCATCTGGCCGCTCAATACCAGGAGGCAGCGTGGCAGCCGTGGCCGCGGGGAGACGGATGGGCCAGGCGGGGGCAGGAGAGCTCCGCGCTGGGCTCCAGCGGCCCCTCCAGCCACGCCCCTGTCGGGTTGAGTGGCTGTGGGCCGGTGGCACTCCCGTCAGGCCGCCCTGTCCTGCCCTGTCTGTGCCGCTGTGACCGCCCTGAAGGGGACCTGTGTCGGGACTCAGGGACCCAGCGCTGGATCCCGATGACCCCCGGGGCCTGGGGATGGTGGAGGCGGTGGAGGGGAGCCTCCTTGGGCTCCCTGCTAGGACTCCCTGGTGCCTCCACAGCTGGACAGCTGTTCTGGGTGTCCCTGACCCCAGCTCGACTCTTGAGAGTCACCCATGACCACACACTGGCAAATGCACATGTGGGCTCTGCACCCAGCCATGGACAGACCCCTCAGAGGAACGCCCAAGGTCCTGGGCTCCTGGAAACACACACACACTCCAGGTGGCACCACTGGCCACCACCGGCCCCAGGACACACAGCATAGCCACAGCTACACTGCCAGACACGCACACGTGTGTGCACAGACAGGGAATGAGTGTGCAGCTTGTGTCTCTGCTCCCCCCAGACCACCCTCCGGCCACAGAACTGCTGGGGGCTGGCGCCAGGACAGTCCCCCTCCAGGTTCTTCTCTGTACTATTGGATCTTCCCCCAGGTGTGTGGACAATGTGGACAGAGACAGCCACCACTGGCCGCAGGACACACAGCACAGCCACAGCTACACTGCCAGACCTCCTGGGACCCTGTGGTCAGCTCTCCCCTCCCCCATCCACCTCCTCAGCCAGAGAGGGGCTGCGGAGGACAGAGGACACCAACCATGGGCCCTGGACATTTATTGCTCAGACAGATGGCGGGGCCCTGGACATTTCTTGCTCGGATGGATGGTGAGGCCCGCAGTGTGGCTTGGGTTAGAGAACCTGTGTGGGGGTGGGTGACAGCGGTGGCAGTGGGGGCACAGAAATCATGAGCTTCTCGGTCCGGAGGAAGGCAACGTGCTTCTCATAGTAGGCCGCCTCGTTGATGAACACTGGGTACACAGTGGAGTCCCCCTCGTACAGCACATCCTCACCACTGAACTTCTGGAAGATGGGTGCACCTGGCTGCAGAGGCTCATAGTCCCTGTCCTGGAGGAGAGCCAAGGCCAGCTGGTGACACTCAAGAGATTCCCCTCAGAGCCTTGCCCCACTCACCCTTCACTTCCTCCATCCATGTGACATGTACCTGGTGACATGCCAACTGTTCTGTGAGTAGAAATGGAGATATCAGTCACCTTGAAAAGATGGTTGTCATTATGGAAGTGTTGCCTAGTGGTTATGGGCACAGACATGTCAGTGTTCAAAGTCTGAGTTCAAATCCTTGTTAGCTGTGTGACCTAGAGTACGTTCCTTAACCTCTCTATTCCTAGGCTTCTCATCTGTAAAACGGAGATTATAATATCTCCCCCTATCATTCTGAGATCTAAATTCAGTGGGTTAATAGTGCTGAAAACATATTCGGCACACAGTAAGTACAATATAATATGGTCAGGTGCCACTTAATGATGGGGTTAGTTCCAAGAGAGGTGACATTAGTTGATTTCGTCATCATGGGAATGTTATAGGGTATATTTACACAAGCTGACATGGCGGAGATGCCACTAGCCAGGAGTCTTGCAGGACAGGTTCCCATATGCTGTCTGTCCTTTAGGGAAATGTCGTGGCAGGTGATGGTACTAAATGCTATCACTGAAAATCTGCAAGGCGGATCTGACCTCAACACGGCCAGGTCGGCCTCCACCCGAATGTCTTTACAAGTAAAATAGCACCTCAGAACAAAGCTGCAGGGAACAAGGGCCGTGGACGGCACGAGACCCGGTTCCACAGTGACCCTGTGAGCCGAGCAGCAACTGGCCCCTCTACCAGGAGCAGACACCGGATTGCCGGATTCAGGAACATTCAGAAAGGAGGCTTGGAGAGGGGCACTGGTCAGCCTGCTCACAGGCGTTGCAAGGCAGGGCTCCGTCCGTATTTGCACCTCTGCGCAGGCGCAGCGGGTGGCCACAGCCTCCCTCCCTCTGCCCACAGTTGAGGATCGCTGTGGCCCCAAGGGCCAGGCCTGAGTGTGGAGGTTCCAGAGGAAACGGAAGGGGCGGGGTGGCGACTGCAGCCAGCCGCTGTCCAGCTCCGGGTGATGCGGTGCTGGGGACCCTGCGGGGGTCCGGTTTCTCTCCACCCCCAAGGCCGTGGCCCCCAGCCTCCCGCGCACCTCTCACCTGCAGCTGCGGGTGCACCATGCCGGCCAGGTCCCCGTCCTGGGTGCGCGGGAAGTCCTCGCCGCCCAGGTTTCTATAGACTTCCATCTCGAAGGCAGGGAAGGCCGCGCCTGGCGGAGGCTGGGGGTGAGAGCCGCCCGCTCCGACCCCGCTGGACGGGTCCCCTGACCTCAGGTCCCCGCCAGCGCCTGGGGCTTCTCACCCTGGTTGAAGAGCTCCATGAAGTCCAGAGCGGAGGCCACCAGGGCTCTCATCCTGGAGAAGACGTCAGCGCGCAGCACGCCCTGGGGCTGCGGGCCCAGCTCCACAGCTGGGGACCCGAGGCGGGGGTCGGGCAGGTGTCCCCGCGGGCTGCGCCCCCAGGCCCCCCCCAACTCCCGGAGCCCCGCCCCTCGGCCCCGGCCCCGCCCCTCGGCCCGGCCCCGCCCACTTCCCCAGAGCCCTGGGCCCACTCATTCCGTTCTTGGCCACAGAGTCCAGGCTGAAGCTCTCGCTCGCCGACTGCGGTGGCCGGGTCAGGAGCACCTGGCAGGGCACCTCGGGGAACTGCAGCTGGGTGGGAAGGGAAACAGGCGAGGAGGGAAGTGTGCAGAAGGAACAGGACTCCGGCCTCCCTGGCCAGCCTCCCTGGCTGGCGGCCTCCCTCTGCACTCCGGAGGGGCTGGGGTCCCAGAGGTCCTGGAGTGCCTGCTGGTGGCAGGCCCCCAAGGGAAACCTGGCTGGGAGAAAGGAGCCAAGAAGAGCCCACACTGTCCCCTCTGCTCCCTCTGCCCACCCCCTGGCCTCTGGGGTCTGTGGCCAGCGGCTAGGGCTACCTGTAGGTGGCGGGACAGGTGCAGGGCAAAGGTGTTGTGGGCGCCATCCACCAGGAGGCAGGTGCCCATGTTGGCGGTGGTGTTGTGCAGGTCGAGGACAAAGTCAAAGGCCCGGTCGGAGCCAGAGGCCTTGGGCCCCAGCAGCTGGTCCAGCTCCCGAGCTCTCGTCAGTTCGTGTGGATCATTCGGAGTGGCCCTGGAGCTGTGGGGCGGGAATGGGCAGCGGCCCCCACGTCTCAGGCTGCCGGCAGGAGAGCCTCAGCGTGGCTCAGGCCTGCGCCGGGCCTGCCCCTGCTCCTGGCCCTCGTTGGCTCCCCCTTCCCCATGAAGGGCAAGCTCTGCCTGGCCCCGCCCCCACCTGCCTCATGCTGTCACTTGGGCCACACTTCCCCAGCACCATGCTGGTGCCACCACGAGGCCTGTGTCCTTGCATGGCCCTCCACTGAAAACCCCTGCCTCCTCCTTTCACCTGGCCAACTGCCTACCTCTGGGGCTTGGTGGAGACATCACCTCCTCCAGGAAGCCTTCCCTGACTCTCTTGGCCAGGCTCTGTGCTCTGTGCAGCCCCAGCCCCTGCATTTAGCCTCCTGGGCTGTGGTTGAGTTCTTGCTCCATGTCCCACAGTAAGCTAAGGCCACCCCCCTGGTCTTCTTCCCCATCCTCTTGCCCGAGGGGTCCAGAGCCTCCCTGGAGCTGGGACCCAGTGAGGCCCACAGGAGGAGGGCGTGCACAAGCACAAAGCTGGTGGACGGGACCTGAGGCTGATCTGAGGGAAACTGGCCATCAGGAAGGGCTTCCTGGAGGAGGTGACATGGATCAGGATTTCTCTAAACTGAAAAGAGAGGAGGAGGCAGCGTAGGCAGAGGGGGACCAGCGGGGAGGCAGGAGCAGGCCCTGCTGGTGGCGGAGGGAGGGGCGGTGGGGCTGTGGTGCAGGGCCTCGCTGGCGGCCAGGCCAGGGCACTCACACGAGTAAGGTGTCCGTGAAGGTGCGGTTGAGGTCACGGTCCACATAGCGGCGGCAGGCGGCCGCAGCCGCAGGGTTAGCCAGCACAGGCGTGGCAGAGAAGCTGGGTCTCCGCAACTCCCTGGGGTCCCGCAGCCAGTGCCGGGCCAGGTAGACGCCGGACAGCTCATTGCCATGGGTGCCGCCGGTCACGGCCACATGGCGCAGGGGCGCCTGGGGCACCGGCACGGAGCACATCCCTGTGTGGTGGAGCACAGAAGGGCTCCGTGACGGTGGCACCCGGCCTGGGAAGTTCCTGCCCTAAGCTGAGAGAGAGGCCAGGCTTTTGGGCGCATCCCGACAGCAGGAGGACTCTGTCCCCATTGTACAGACAGGAAAGCTGAGCCGGCCTCAGGGAGCAGCCGGGCTCCAGGGGACCCCTGGGCCTCCTGCGCCTCGTGTGGCCTCTGAGCTGGTGCCGGACTTCGGGAGGCCACTACCTACCTGCTGGTGTGGGTCTGGGCTTCCTGGCCCCGGGCTGCGGCACCTGCCTGCGGCACCTGCCTGCTGGACGGGGGCTGATCGTGGGCCTGGAGATTTCCAAGCAGGAAGCGCTTCTGTCGGCCGGCCAGCAGGGCTGTGGGGGATGGGCAGGTCCCTGCAGCCAAAGGTTGCCCTGGTCTCCTCCCACCGCCGCCCTGCCCAACCGCCACAGCCCACTGGGTCTCTGTCTTGCAGGCAGGTTCCTGTCTTTGCCTTCTGTCCATCTTCTGACCCCAAGGGTCACTCAGGAGCTGGGCACGGCCTTGGGGACTTATTTGCAGAGGTTCCCTAAGACCTGGATGTCGACCAGAGAAGATTGGGCTTTGCAGACTGCCGCGTGCCAGGTGTCCAGCCATGGGTGGACGGGCCTGGGTCCAACCCAGGAGCCACTGGCTAACCAGGGCTAAGTCCATCCGGATGGGCACCTTCATTAAGGCTCACACCTGGCCACTGAAAGTCTCTATGGAGGCACGCACCCTGCTGGCCACCCAAGTAAGAGTCCCCTTGCCTCCACTAGCTCAGAGCAGGTCACTCCTTGCACTCCTATAGGACCAGGGTCACTCCAAGGTCACCCCATCCCAAAGGATTGGCTCCCAGTGGAGTCTGGATTTATGGCTCTTTGATGCTTGAAAAGAAGACCTCGGTGCTTCACCAGTATTCTAGTTATTTCCAGACAACGCAACGGAGTCGCCTGTTGACTGTGGGGGGAATTGACCCTCCCACCCACTCACACATGTCGGGGGACAAAGGTGAAGTCCCCTCACCCAGCCCCAGGGCCGGTTTCTTCCACCCAGCTCTGCGGGCAGGACACAAGGAGAGTCCAGAGTCACCGAGGAGAGAAGCAGAGCTCAGGCAGTAAACCGTCCAGACGGGTCCCCTGTGGCCTCTTGTATGCCAGGTGGTGTTTGAGGGGACCTTCCCCAGGCTTCAGTTCCCAGGCCTTTGCCACATCGGATGGAGGCCAGCCCACGACCCTGGTGGCCAGCCCCCTAGGCTGACCCTCCGAGGCCACTCAGCTCAGACTCAATTCCTGTGTGGCCTGGCTGCCCTCACTCTCCTCCCTCTACCCCCAAGGCTGTGGGACCTTGGCTAGTGCCTGCATCTTGCTGGGGTCACCAGAGGGTGGTAAAGGTGTAAAAGCTCCTCCAGGAGCCACCGTGCTGGGACCTGGGCCTCAGCAGAGATCTCCCTGAGGACCTCTGGGAGGGCCGCTAACCCTTCCTTGGCTATACCCCTGGAGGGCAGCCTAGGAGGCTCTAGGAGGTGGAATGACTATGCCGAGCCACCCCTGCAGGTGACAGGCAGTGGTGGAAGGAGCCAGCAGACGAACCTGCCTCCCTCCCTCCCAGGCCCTGCTAATGCTTTGGGCAGGGGTCTCTGGGCCCTGTTATGAGTCCAAAGTCTTGGTCTTCATCCTAAAGGCCCACCCAGGCTGCTGGGATCCTGCTGACTCATGTAGGATCTCACAGGAAGAAAGGGGCTACTCAGGGAACCTGGCTGTTTGGAAGCCAACCCTTCTCTGTCTGGAGACCAAAGTGCTCCCTACCAGGAGATGCTGGGTCCCCAGCTCTGCAAAGGGCAAGGGCAGGGAGGGCTAGGAATTTTCACTTCCCTTAGCTGCGGTCTAACTTCCCCATTTCGGTGGGTATTTATAGAATGTGTGTGGGGGGGGCTGGAATCTGATGCAAGAGCTCTCAGAAATGGCACCCAGTTGAGTGTGTGGAGGCAGCCTGCTGAGCTACACCTGGGAGCCCAGGAAGGGGAGGGCCCTTCCCCTGGTTCTGACCCCCCAGACCTCAAGAGGCTGTGTGATCTGGAGAGAGCTGATGCCCTCTCTGGGCTTCAGCTCCTGCTAGGGACATGGGGTGGGGCTCTCTTCTAGCCAGGGGCAGTGGTGCGCAGGGCGGGTCCAGGCCTGGGAAACGGGCATCAGAGAAGGACCCTGGTTGTCCTTCCCCACCAGCTTTTCTAGAAAACCTCGGCCCAAGGGAGGCTCGGGGCTCAGTCCTGGGTGGCATATGACTCCTGAGGGTGACATCCCAGACCCAGATGCGTGTGTGTGTGTGTGTGTGTGTGGCTGTTCACACATGCTCCCAGGATGGCAGCTCCCACGGACTCGTCCTAAAGCCCCCAGAAGGGACTGGGGGCCTCACGCTGGGCCCTGTGGCCCCCTGAGGGCTGGGGTGCTGCTCGGGAGGAAGCAGCCCCGGGGCACTGAACCGGGAGGGTTCCTAGATTCTGGGATCCTGCCTCGGGGGACAGCAGATGGCAGGACGGCAGTTCAGCACACTCACACTCTGGACCCTGGAGGGGGGTCAGAGCCACCTTTATGGATCTCACTGAAGCCCTCATCAGCTCCAGCGTCTGCCCGGCCTCGGGGAGACCCCAGACCCCTCCAGTCAGAGGGTGCAGAGGGACTTTGGTACAGAAAGCGACTGGCCAGCTGTCCAGAGGTCTGTTCAGAGAGAGCCCCAGCAGTGGGGTCCTCACGCCTCGGACTGGTCACCTGCCTTTCAGGGACCCCTGGCCTGTGGGTAGCGGCCGGCAGCCCAGGGTGGGCAGCAGAATGCAGGGTGGGTGGGTGCTGGAGGTGGGCAGGGCTCAGAGAAGGGTGCAGCTCTGCGAGTCCAGGGCCCACCGTATCAGCTTCTGGCTCCAATGGCCATAGGGCGGGTAGCGGATCCTGTTGAGCCTCTCCAGGCCCGAGGGGGACAGCAGGCAGGCGCGGTGGTGCGAGAAGGTGTCAAAGGAGAACTTCCCGTGGTACCTGCCCATCCCGCTGTGGCCTGCAGGGGCGGAGGAGGTGGGAGTGAGGCCGGGCGTCCCCTCCAGCCCAGGGGCTGCCACCACCCTGGCCAGAGGCCCACAGCTGGCAGGGAGCTCAGAGAGCCAGGCCACCCTTAGGGACCATTCGACAGATGGGGAAACCGAGGCCTTGGAGGCCCAGGGTGAGCAGTGATGGGGCGACTTGAGCAGGTGGGGACAGGAGGGCAGGAGGCAGGAACGCACCCACTCCACCCAGGGGCAGGGATGGCAGAGTCATGTAGATGAAGCCTTCGTTGCCACCGAAGCTGCCGCTGCTGGTCCCCTCCAGGACCTGGTTCACCACCTGCAGGGGAGGGCGCGGCTCAGGGAGAGGCTCGAGCCCCACACTCAGAGGACGTCTCCGGGCCTCCCACCACCACCCTCCACCGAGCATCCCAGAAGGGTGCAGAAATGAGGAAGCCCCCAAAGCAGCGAGAGGCGCGTGCCTGTGACTGGGACCGTGACCGTGGCTGTGAGGCGTGGCGGCACCGTTAGGACATTGTAGCAAAGTGCATCCGCCCACAGCAACCAGCCCGGCTCTCACTGTGGGGACTTGCACTGTCCCCCGTCCCATCTGGGGCTGTGCTCCCTGTGGGGAGCCTTTACATGGTTCAGAGAAAGGGGGATCCCTGAGCACCCCTTCCCCCAGGAGGAGGCTGCCCAGCCAGAGAGACAGCTGGACAGCCTGGATCCAGCAGGTTGTGACCCCACCCAGGTTCCCTCTGCCAGGTGGCAGTGACACCAGGCAGCCTGGAACATAGTCACCCTGGAGGTGACAGCTGTCCTAATCTGCCCCCCAGGGCCTTGGAAGGGGACGGGGGCCGTCCACTCCTGCCGGGCCGCACCTGGGAGCTGTTGGAGAAGGCGTACAGGGCCAGGGGCTTCTCCCGCCGGTTGATAAAGTCGATGGCTTCATCCAGGCTCCTCACGGTCACCAGGGGCAGGATGGGCCCAAAGATCTCCTCCTGCATCACGGGCTCCGTCTCCTGCACGTCCACCAGCACAGTGGGCGCTGCGGGCGGGCACGGCGACAGTCAGCCCAGGGCCACAGCAGGGACACCCCAGGGGAGGGGATTCAGCAGGGCCCGGGCCCAGGATGCAGGCCGGGGACCCCCTGGCCTGACCTCCCAGCTCTCCAGGCTCTGAGGACCTGGGTCCTGGCCTCTCGGAACTGCAGATGGCAGGACAGACGGCAGGACGGGAGCTTACACCACCCTCCGGACCCTGGAACTGGGGTCCGGCTCAGTGGATCAGAGTTTGGGGTGAGGAGACAGGCTCCGGGCCGTGGTGACGTGGGGCCTTCGTGTTCTGGAACCAGGCACCGGGCCGGGGACCCAGGCCTGGCCAGCAGGGAGCGGGGCCGGCTTTCAGGCGAGGCCCCTGCAGCGAGGAAGGCCCTCGGCCCAGGGGGCTGCGGCAGGGGAGAGGGGACTCACCGATGTAGAGCTCGCTCTCGTCGCTCTGGCCACCGATGGCCACCCGGCCACAGCCCAGCAGTCCCTGGAGCCGCTTGAAATGCTTCTGGCTGATGATGCGGCCCAGGTTGGGGGAGCTCTGGGGGTCGTCGCCATAGAAACGGGTGATGGCGTTCTGCAGGGCAGGCAGCAGGCGCTCGCGGGTCTCGGGGCTGCACAGGACGTAATCCGGGGCCACGCAGGTCTGGCCGGCGTTGAAGTACCGGAACCAGGTGACGCGGTTGGCCACGGTCTGGGGGTCACAGTCGTCGTCCACGTAGCACGGGTTCTTGCCCCCCAGCTCCAGGGTGACGGGTGTCAGGTGCTTGGCAGCGGCGGCCATGACGATCTTGCCCACACGGGGGCTCCCTGGGGGACACCGTCAGGGCTGCCCATCCTCAACTGGCTTTGGCCAGAGACTGGGGGCCCCTGACCCTTGTTGCCTCTCTTTCCACTGAGACAGCCCAGGTCCTGGCCTTCCTGCCTCCATCTGTCCCCAGCCCAGCCACCCAGGATCCAATCTCCGGGAGTCCCTGGGGACCCAGCTGCCCTGTCCGGCTGAGTGGCCCCTGGACCCTGTGTCCAGCCTGACTCTGGCTTCTTTCCCCCCCTTCCCACCCTTTTCTCTGCCGGCTGCCCCCTGGCCGGACCTGGCCAGGCCCTCACCTGTGAACAGGATGTGGTCAAATCTGTGCTCCAGCAGCCGCCCGGTGTCCTCAGGCCCGCCCAGCACCACGGCAAAGCAGCTCTGCCAGGTGGCACAGGAGGTCAGCGGGCAAGCCCAGGGGACAGTAGGACAGGAGGGGACTAGTGGGGCAGGTCCTCCTCACCTGGTCCAGGTACCGGGGCAGCACCTCGGCCAGCACCTTCTCGGTGCCCTTGCTGATTTCCGATGGCTTCAGGACCACGCAGTTCCCTGCAGAGGCACAGGGGGCTGTAGGCGGGGCCAGGGTCCCCCCATCTGCCAGGCCTGCACCCAGGGGCCACCACAGCCCCGCGACTCTGGAGGCCCTCTTTGGGAAGGGGCGGCCGATGGGAGGGCGGACCAGGGCCTGTCCTCACCTGCAGCGATGGCCCCCACCAGGGGCACCAGCGTCAGGTTCAGCGGGTAGTTCCAGGGCGCGATGATGAGCACCAGGCCGAAGGGCTCCTTGCGGATGAAGGCTGAGTGCAGCTTCGTGAGCTGGGTGCAGGGAGGACAGTAAAGTGCCACCAAGGACCACGAGACCCCCTCCCGCAGCCTGGGTCCTCCGCTCCTGTGCATTAGCGTCTCCTGGAGAAGACTGGCCCTGGCCTCGGGGACAGGAAGGAGCCTGGACCAGAGCCATCCCCTGCCCTGCTGCCACCCGGTCAGCCCACAGGGCTCACCAAGTTCGTGGCTACCGGCTCGTCCTTCATCCAGGTGTGCAGGCTCCTGAGGGCCAGGTGCACCTCATTCTGGCACAGGATGAACTCCGACATGTCCGCCTCGAAGGCCGACTGAGGTGAGGGGGAGAGGCGGTGGTCAGCCCTGGCCAGCAGGGTGGGCGGGAGCGGGTCCCCACGGGCACTGAGTGGCCCCGTGGGTGCTGCACACGGGCTGGGACGGCTCTGGAGCCACTCAGCCTCCCCTTGGCCTGTCACCTCAGGCGAGTGACAGCACCTAGTGTCTCAGTTCCCCATTTGGAATAAATTTGGGGACACAGCTAATCACTTTGGTGGGCAAAGATGCTAACGGGGGGGACAGCGATGCTGTGGAGGACATGACCCCAGCCTGGGAAGGACTGGTCTGGACCCCCCGCGGCCACCTCGAACAGGTCCTGGCCCGGTCAGGAGCTGGGCTCTGGTGGCTCTTGGTCCCTCTGTCCCAGCTGTGCTGCCTGACCCCTCCCTGCAGGGCACCCTCTCCCCCACCCGGCCACCTTGTGCAGGTCCTGGGCCAGCGCGTCCAGCAGCAGCTGCCGGTTGTCCTGCAGGAAGCGGCCCAGGCCCTGGAGCTGCGCCGCCCGGAACTCTGCCGGCCGAGTCCGCCCCGAGCCGAAGGCCTCCCGCAGCCGCCGCAGCGTGTCCTCGACGGGGTCCATCCTGCTGGACAAGGCAGCGAGAACTGGGTGCTCCACCTCCAGGGGCGACCTGCAGCTGCCCCTCACAGGTGACAGTCCTCCGCACAGGGGCCGGGGCTGCAGGCGGGAGCTGGAACCCCGGTGGCCCAGGCGTTCCCAGGGTGTCTGGTCTTGTTTGGTGGCCCCGGGCGTCTCCGTGGGATGAGTGTGTCTGTGTCTGTGTGTGGACGTGAGCTGTCCCCAACCTTCAGCAGCACGTCCCGGGGCCATGCCCAGGATCCCTGCCTCAGATCCCCGTGGCCGCAGGACGGAGCAGAGGTTGGGCATCCCCACCGAGTGCCCTGGAGGGACACCCACCCTCCCGGGGCCTCGGCAGGTCAGCAGCCTAGTCAGCGCAGCGGGGGGACGTCCTGGGGGTCAGGGTCTGCCTGGAGGCTGCTCCGAGGAGCAAGAGGAAGCCGAGCAGCCAGGCCCGACGCGGGGACCCGCCCCCCCGCAGCCGCAGACCTGCTGACCCTCCGAGGGCAGCATGAGGTCACTCCTGGCACTGGGGGCCTCCTCTCAGCTCTGCCCTGCCCATGAGGGCCTGAGGGCCACGGCATACAGGCGGTGCTCAGTGAAGACTCATCCACTGAGTGGGCTCAGCTCCCGTCTCGGGCTGGGGGCCCCCCTTCCTTCATGCCTTCCCTCCGCCAGGCCTGGGGAGCTCTCCTAGACCCCTGTCCCCAGCAGGGCCGGGCCATTCCCTGCCCACAGCCCCCACAGGAGCTGGCTGGGCGGGTTGGGCTTGCTCAGAGCCACGGGCGGCCCGGCTGACCTGGAGGGTTCCCAGGCCTGGGCTCTAGGCCCCTGACCCTCACCAGCCCTCGCGGTCCCCCTGCCTAGGTCCAAGGCTCTGGTGACCTCGGCTTCCTACCCGGCTCCCTGTACCTCCCTGTACTGATGCCATCCGTGACACTGTGGGGCCAGGCACCAGGTGCCGCAGGCTCCTCCCACAGCCCATCAGAGCCGCAGCTGGCTCTACGCAGAGGCCAGGAAGGGGCGGCCTCTCAGAGGTGGGTGAAGGACTGGGGTCAGCATTCTGCCAAGGCCCTGTGGGGGTGGACTTTGAAAAACAAGATGTCCCTGGGCCTGGCGACACCTTGATGGGACCTGTCAGCAGGGCTGGCACCTCTGGGCGGTGGGCACACCGGGGAGAGGGGCTGGAGGGGAGCAGAGCTGCCTTGGAGCCGAGGGCTTTGCAGCAGCGTCTCATTTAAGCCTCACAGCTTGACCCCATCGTGAGGATGCGGCGCCTTCGGCTCCAAGAGGCCACCTGACTCTCCTCCCACAGCTGACCTGATGCACACGCCCGCCACCACCCCTGTGTGCTGTGGTCTCAGTGCCCTCCTGCAGCTCCCCGGTTTGCTACAGTGACAACATAGTCCTTCTAGAACCCTCCACGAACAGGGAATGTGGCCCGTGAAATCTGAAGCCAAAGGCTCAGCTCTGGCCTCACCACCCGAGAAGCCCCCTGGCCGCCTGCCCACACAGCACAGCGCTGGCCACTCCTGCCGGCCCCACCTTCTCCTGGCTAGGCCCCTCCGGAAGGACAGGAGTCTCTCCCCGGCCCTGGGGTCCCAGGGCTTGGGGTCCCAGGGCTTTCCCGGAGCTGACCGAGGCCCGGAAGTCCCGGCAGTGAGGGCCGGACAGGGCCTGAGCACCCGTCTGCGCTGTCAACCTGCACCCGGCCGCGCCCTCTCCCCAGCAGCAGCCCCCACCCGCTTTGCCCTGCGCCCTCGTACCCCAGCGTGGGCTCTGAGCGGGGGTCCTGTGTCGACAGCGTGTCTCCAGTGCCCCGACTGCGCTCCCAGCTCTCCTCGCCGGCCCTCCTCTGCCCCTGCCCGGCCTCTGCCTCTGGCTCAGCTGCTCCCACCCCCAGGCCTGGCACTGGGTGCTCCCACCCCTCCTCGCTCCCACTGCCAGTCTCCCTGGCACGGCCCGCTGGGGAACAGGTTGGGCCGGCTGTGAGGCTGCTGTGTCTGCAGGGAGGGCTGGCAGGGCCCCGCCCGATAAGGAGAAGCCCCCCGAGGCGAGATGAGCTGCCAGCCACCTCCACCCCCACGCAGCGGGTCCAGGTCTGCAGGAGCAACAGTGGCTCCTTCTTTTCTGCTCCCCTGTGACCAACTGGAGGTAGGTGGAGGGGCCTCCACAGCAGGGAGCAGCTCCAGGGTGAAGCACACTTGGTTTGACTATTCTCCTGTTTACTGTGTCCCCAGGCAGGTGACTCAGCCTCTCTGAGCCTCTCTGAAGTAAGAGTCACGCACAAGTGTCATGGTTCTTGAGAGAATCCTGGGCAGAGGACAGGAGGTGGGTCACAGCTCCTGATACAGAGCCAGTGCTGCTCAGAGCTGGCTGCTAGTGTCGTTCGCACACGTTCTAGATCTGGGGGAGCAGGAGGCTGCTCAGACTCCTCCCAAGCTGGCACCAAGAACACCCCCACCCACTCAGGGCAGTAAAAAGAGCTTCCTGGCTGTGTGCTGGTGTGCCCTGGCAGGCCGCGGGGACAAACCTTGGGTAGGACTGGAGCCGGCCCCGGGGGAGCCACAGGCTACTGCAAGTCCCGGGCCTGGAATCCTTATTTAGCAGCCAGTAAGATCGCAGGAAGGAAACTGGCGTCTGGGACAGAGGCACGGGATAGTGTCAGGGCTGCCAGGGCCCCTCGAAGAGCAGCAGGTGGGGGGCCTCCTGCCCCCAGGCCCTGGTGGCGTGCCATGTGAATTCTATCCAAGTGAAGCCATTTTTCTTTCGGCTGTCAAGGGACCTTTATTTCTATGTGGTGCTGAGAATCGAACCCAGCGCCTCACACGTGCCAGGCAAGTGCGCTACCGCTGAGCCCCAGCCCCAGCCCCTAGAGCCATGTGTTAAAGAAAAATAAATTGACCGGGCCTGGTGGCCCAGCCCTGTCATCCCAGCCACTCAGGAGGCTGAGGCAGGAGGATTGAAAGTTTGAGACCAGCCTCGGCAACCTAGTGAAATCGTCTCAAAAAGTAAAAAGGGCCAGGGTGAAGCTCAGTGCTGGAGCCCCTGGTTCCAAATTCATCAGTTAAAAAGTGAAAGCAAGAACCCACACAGCCTTTAAGTGTCTTAAAATATGCTCTCCCCAAGCCGTCTCCCGCCTCCCAGGATCTAGGGCATTAAAGTCAAGTCGTCCTCAGAAACTCATCACCCGTCTCGCATTGGTTCCCTTGGCTGCTGCTGGAAAGAATCATTGCAAATGGGGGAAGTTGAAGACAGGGGAAATGTCTCCTGTCCTGGCTGGGCGAGGTGAGGAAGCTGGAAGCAGTGGCCACGCCTGTCATTCCAGCTGCTCGGGAGGCTGAGGCAGGAGGATCGCGAGTTCAAAGCCAGCCTCAGCAATGGCGAGGTGCTAGGCAACTCAGTGAGACCCTGTCTCTAAATAAAATACAAAATAGGGCTGGGGATGGGGCTCAGTGGTCGAGTGCCCCTGAGTTCAATCCCCAGTACCCACCTACCCTGCCCAAAAAACAATCCTCTGGAAGACAGAAGACAGAGACCAAAGTCCAGGTGTGTGTGGTTGGGGGGGCTTTGGCTCCAGGGGAGGGGGCTTCCTGCCTCTTCCAACTTCCGGTGGCTGTGGTGGTCCTGTGCTTGTGGCCACAGCACCCCACCTCTGCCTGCTTACTCTGCTCGGGGTCCACCCATTCTCCTGCCTCCTCCGATCAGGAGGAGTTAGGGTTGGGTCTAGAGGCCCCCAGAAAATCCCGGATGACCTGCACAGGACCTTCCTTCCTTCCTTCCTTCCTTCCTTCCTTCCTTTATTTATTTTTTCATTTTGAAATAGGGTCTTGCTAAGTTGTGTAGGGTGCTGCTACATTGCTGAGGCTGGCCTCAAACTTGCGATCCTCCTGCCCCAGCCTCCTGAGTCCCTGGGATCCCAAGTGTGCGCCCAACTGTAAAGACCTGTTTCTAAACAAGGTCACATTCACAGGCCCCAGGAATCAGGAGGTGTCTTCAGAAGCCATTGCCACCTTACCACAGGGAGCAAAAGCCGCTTGCTTTGTCACCCAGGGGAATATTGGATCATGATTCCTCAAAAATTGTAATCCAATGTCAAGAAATATTTGCTAAGCCCCTGCCAAGTGGCACTTGTCTGCCTCCCAGCACCCAGCCCAGAGGGTGGCAGTACAAATAAGCCACCGACCAAGGCAAACGGTACAGACAATGGTGTGCTGAGGAGATGACGTCTGAGCTGGGACCCCAAGGGTCACAGTGAGGCAGACACGTGCCAGCCAGAGTGACCGGTCCAGGCAGATGGACGCAGGGGAAAAGGTCTCGGCAGGCAGGACTGTAGCTGTGGCTGGGGTGGGGGACACAGTCCAGGACACCCTGCTGGTGGGTGGAGCTGGGATCCCTGTCCTGGAGCAAGGGGAAGCCATGGTGGGGTCAAGGAGGTGGCACGGTCAGAGTCCCCGTTTGGAGGACCTTTGATGGACTGGTGGTGGCGGGCGGTGGGCACCCCCTGTAGGGGTACCCGGGCCAGAGCAGAGCAGAGCTCGGGGAGCCTGTCGGCCTGGACAGGGGGGCGCCCGCAGGGAGCCCTTCTGGAGGGACGTCAAGGGTTTCTCTGAGTGGCAGGTGGCGGGCTGTGGAGAGGGAGAGCCGGGCTCCGCAGGCCCCCGGTGGACGAGGAATGCCCCTTTCTGAGGCCAGGTCTAGGGACTTGTGGGGACACAGATTCAGGGCCAGCAGGTCTGGTGGGCAGGCGCCGGGCGCCCTGGTCACCCTCCCAGGTGGGCTCCGGGGACATGGCTGGGCTGGGAACCAGACTGACCGCAATGGCATCAGGTGCCCCAGGCTGTCCCCGTACATCGCAGGGCATGGGCACACTCCCTGGGCCATTCACACCCCCGCCGTGACAACCCCAAATGTCTAGACATTGCCAAGTGTCCCCTGGGGTCAGCATCACCCCCGTGGAGAACCGCTGACCTGGAGGGTCTTCCAAGGACCCGAGGGAGGCAGAGCGGGAGGGGCTGGGGGGGGGTTTCAGGGGCACCCGTGGGTGACAATTGCGGGTGACCACTGGGGGCTGGAGTAGCATGCGTGGCCACTGGCCAGCTGGCGCTGTGGGGCGTGGGAGGTGGCCTTCCTCGGTGTCGTGTGTTCGCCTCGGGCGGAGAGTGGGACGGTGGCAGGTGGAGCAGGGAGCCGACGGCTTGGTCGAGGCCTCCCAGGCTTGTCCGTGACCCTCCAGTGAGACCTGACAGGTGGCCGTGCTGACCCGTGTCCTATACTGAAGCCCTGAGCCCCCGTGGAGGAGATGGGGCTAGACGAGGTCACGAGGGAGGGCCACCAGGGAGCCTGCTGGTCCCCACCTCCCTCGTGGGGGGACAGCAAGGTGCCCGACTGCAGCTGGGAGAGTCCTGCCAGGCCTCCCTGCCCAGCCTCCACCTTGGACTTGCCCCCAGAAACGCGGGAATGAACCTGGGGAAGTCCGGCCTCCCGGGCTGCCTCCACACAGACCCAGGACGGGCCGCACAGAGGCCGCCGTGGAGGGGGAGGCCCGGGAGAGGGGGCCAGATGCGAGGCTGCGGGTGGGGGAGAGAAAACGGCCTTGGGCCCTGGCTGACAGCGCGCAGCACGTGGTCCACCCTGACCCCCCCACCTGGGGACCCCGAGAGCCACCCCGGCAGGGACATCGTAACCAGCCTCCCTTGATGGTGACGTTTGGGCAGATTTAGAAGCTGCCACTGCGTTCACTCTTCTGACCAGGTGGCCTTCCCTGGATGCTCCCTGGGAAAAGCCACCCTATAGGGTTGGTGACAGGTGTCAGGGCCCCTCCTCAGCTGGGGGAACTGCCATGACTAGGGGGCCCAGGGCCTCAGTCTCTCCGTCCACAGAATGGGGGAGAAGAAAGGAGGACTCGGGTCTCATGAGGTTGCTGAGAAGTCATTCCGGACCCTTCAAAGCATCACAGAGGACAGAGGCCCTAAGCAACTTAGCAAGACCCTGTCTCTAAATAAATTATGAAGAAGGGCTGGGACCATGGCTCAGTGGTTAGGTGCCCCTGGGTTCAAATGAAAGAGCTAAACTAGAATTACCATATGACCCAGCAATTCTATTCCTAGGTGGATACCCCCCAAAATTGAAAAAGGGTGGTCAGACAAATATTTGCACACAAATGTTCCTAGCAGTGTTATTCACAACAGCCAAAACATAGGGACCACCGATATGTTCACCAACAGATAAACAAACAAACACAATTCAGTGTATCCATGGACTGAAATATTATTCTGCCATAAAAAAGGAGTGGAATTTTTCTGTGAACTTAAAACAACTCTAAAAAATAAGGTTCATGTCTTAAAAAGTAATGAAGAGCGAAGGACTGGCTCACGCTGCCATGTGGAGGGATCTTGAAAACAGGACGCAGAGCGAAGAGGCACACACATATGTTGGGATTCCTCTGGAAGGTGAGGGGCTAGCACGGGCTGATCCGCAGGCGGAGAGAAACTGGTGCTGGCCCAGGGGCTGGGGGAGAGGGGTTGGGGGTGACCACTTAGCAGGACTGAGCGTTCTTGGGGGTGATGGAAAGGTTTCAAATCTAGAGCGGTGAATGCCTGTGTGCCCATGAGCTACAACTGGGAGGTGATGGATCACACGTGGATTTTACCTCTCCAAGAGCAAAGGGCTGGGATCCCGCTGGCTCCCACCCCCCTGCCCATGTGCCCTGATGGAACCTCCGCCACACGGTGAGCTGCCCACACCCACGTGGGCGAACTTGGAGGGGGTCATCTCCCCAGAGCCCAGATGGCCACGCCCTGACTGCTGTCCTGACAGTGGCCTTTTCTACCTTAGGGCAGGGCATCGAGATGGGCATTGCTGTTCAGAGGAGAAACAGGGGGCACGGTGGGGCCCCGGTCCCAGGCCACCTGAGACCAGCGGGAGACAATAAAGTGCCCTGCCTGGACCCCAAGGTCTGGGAAGGATTCTCCATGGCTCTGGGCTTTGCTCTCTGGGTCTCCATCCTGTCCTCTGAGCTGTCCGTCCTTTTTCATGGAAGGCCATCTGCGTCTGGTCAGTAGGACGTGGGGGACCCACTGCCCCCTTTTCTGCATGTCCCTGAAGGCTGCCTGGCAGCTTTTCTCAGGAGCCTGTGGGTCTCCCTGAGGCTCACTTCATCCCAGGAAAGTTCCACCCATGATCTCTCCGGGTTGAGCTTTTTCCCATCTGGCCGCTTGCGGGGAGGCTGAGGGCCTGCCCCGGGGATCCTGGAGGGGCCGCGGTCACTGGGTCATCTGGGAGGCACACCCAGGCCTCAGTACCTGGACCTGCGAGAGAATCACTCATCCTTTCCTCTTCCTGAGGTCTCAGCCACCATGTCACCCTCATCTCTAGATCACAGCTCGATGCTCAGAAGTCATTTTTTAATTTTAGCATCTTTTCTCTCTGGAAATTTTGAATTCCAAGGGCCACACGGCCAGACCTATCTCAAAAGAAAAGAGCGGTCAGCTTGTTGTGAGCTTGGGTCACAAAGGGGACGGGCACCCCTGCCTCCCTCTGTGACGTCTGTTCCAGGCGCAGCTGCTCGCCTACCGTGCTGTCTGCCCCCACTGTCCAGCTCATCAAATGGGGCTCTGAGGTCCACAGAACCTGCCCAGTTCTGACCACCCAAGTTACCAGGAGAGACACCTTTCCAGAGTCAAGGGTCACTAGTCTGAGGAATTCCTCCTGCCGACCACAGTGGACTTTGGTCCGTATCAAGACAAAAATAAAAACGAGTGGGATCCGCGTGCAGGTCGCCAGGAAGCCGTGGTGACGAGTCCACCCAACGGGTTAGAGAAAAATCTCCCAGCACAGGTCAAACTTTCTGCCACTTCGACTTTGTTTCCTGCCCTCTGGCCTGACTACACCGCAGCCCAGGCTTAGCTAGGAAGACCTCTGCCCCCCTAGTCCCAGACTGCAGGGAAGGCCACCTGGACAGAACAGAGGGCACGCGGCAGGAACCAGCCTCAGCAACCCCCAGGCCCCATCAGCAGGATTTTTTTCAAATCATTTGTTTTCTTTTAGATCCATGGGTCAAGACGCTCACTGATTCTCATAAAAGCAAGATTAATAAGCAACGCTGGCGTCCACCCATCCAAAACCTGTCCCCAACAGAAACCACATAAAGAATCTTGCTTAGGGCTAACAGCAAGATGCTCACTGAGATCTTGACCCTTTTCCAAGCTGACTTGTTAATAATGAACTTTCTCCTCCCGTCGCTCTCTGGTCATCCGCGGCTTCGCTCTGTGGTGCGGAATTGAGACCTTTCCCATGATCGAGGCTCATACAAAACCCCACAGTTCCAACCATGACCAAGAGAGCAACGACAGCTGACTGGCCTTTGGGTGATACTTTGCACCGTCGGTGTGTCCAGAATGTTCTGTCCAGTGCCTCTTTCCACAGTCTGTGTCCAAAATGTGCAGTCACCCTTGAGTGGGCTCACCAGCCCCCAGAACCTTTCGGAAAGGCTCTCCATGTAGGCACCTGTCCCCTGGAATCAGGTGACCTTTTATCGGTGACATGCTTTCCACCTCAGATACCCTGAGCTTATTAAAGAACTCTCTAAAAACACCTGTTGGAGCTATTTGGACTTTTGAGCCAACAGAGTCCCATTTGCAAATTTTACTAAAACCTATTTGTGGAATGTCTCAGTCTCTCAGTAATAAGTGGGGTCCCTTCAGCACGAGCCTGTGGAGCTCTGTGGAGGGGCAGCTCTGGGGCTCCCTGGAGACCTGGCCTTGTCCATATAACCGGGACCATGGCCCCTTGGAGTGCTGATGGCTGTATCATGGTCCCCAGAGGAGGGGACCCCTCGGGAGCCGCTAGGAGGCCTCGTCTCCCCGGGCGGCTGTCAGGAGTCATCTGGGGTCACCTCCAGGTTCCTGTGAGGCCTGAGGCTTGGAATCCAGCCCTGGAATATGGAAGAACAGGTTCCTCACCTACTGGGCACCCCACAGTCCCCTCTGCAGGGGACCTCAACATTTCAGGGTCATCCTTTTTGGTGTGTAGGACAAGGACCTCAGGACCCAGCACCTTCGGCTCATTCTCCTTTTCCTATACAAAAAAAAGGTGTCATTCCTGACTCCAAGAAAGAGGAGTGGGGGCGCCGGGGACAGGGGAGCGGTGAGGGAGGCCTCTCCAGGACACGGCCTGTACAGGCCCAGCTCCAAGCAGCTGCCTCCTCCTTAAGACTCTCTTTTCCTCTCAGCAATGACCTCAAGCCTAGTTCTACCAGAACGGCCACCGCTAGCCAATCAGAGCTCACCGCTCCTGCAGGCACCGCGAGTGCCAAAGAGCAGTCCTCAAAGATCATTTGCACAGATTTCTGTCCTAATAAAGCCCCTGGGCTTTTCTTTGTTCTCTGGACACACCAGAGGCCACCCTGGCCCCAGCATTACAGTCTATCCTTGGTTCCAAATAAAAGTTCCTTTTTTTTTTTTTTAGAGAGAGAGATGGAGAGAGAGAGAGAGAGAGAGAGAGAGAGAGAGAGAGAGAGAGAGAGAGAATTTTTTAATATTTATTTCTTTTAGTTCTCGGCGGACACAACATCTTTGTTGGTATGTGTGCCCGGGGCCGCACGCATGCCAGGCAAGCGCGCTACAGCTTGAGCCACATCCCCAGCCCAAAAGTTCCTTTATGGGAGATTCTCCTCTGGATTTTTGACATAAGCGACGAGCTGTCTACACGGCCAAGTGGCTCGGGGGATCTTCCCCAGGGGAAGCTTCCCGGTGTGGCCTGCCTGTGAGCGTGGTGAGCTGCACAGTTAAGGACCAGGAGCGTTCCGGATGCCACCAGGGCACTCCTCCCTAGACGGGGCCTGAGCCTCCCTCGCTCCTGCCTCCACAAGCCCTTGGACTACTCAAGTTGGCCCCGAGCGCTCAGGGGTTTCTAGGGCAAAAAACTGCTTATACTAAATCAGCTGGAGCCTTTCATCACAGTGGGCTTGTCACGGGCCTCGGTGGCCCTGCCTTCCCTAACCAGAGCCTACTTGCTGACCTTCTAGAAACTTCACCTGAAGATATTTCTGCTCACCTCATTGCCCAACAATTATCCCCAAATTTCCAATTATCATTAAATCGTGTACCAGACCCCATTCTTCCTCCTTCCTCTGTATTGCAGTGCTGGGGATTGAACCCTGTGCACGCCAGGCAAGTGCTCTACCACCAAGTCACATCCCCGGCCCCACTCTTTTTTTTTTGGGGGGGGGGAGAGGGAGTACCGGGGATTGAACTCAGGGGCACTCAACCACTGAGCCACATCCCCAGCCCTATTTTGTATTTTATTTAGAGAGACAGGGTCTCACTGAGTTGCTTAGCGCCTCATTTTTGCTGAGGCTGGCTTTGAACTCGCGATCCTCCTGCTTCAGCCTCCCGAGCCGCTGGTATTTCAGGTGTGTGCCTCCGTACCCGGTTCCATTCTTTTTAATAGTAGCTTTTTAAAGATACAATGCACATACCTTAAAATCCCAGGGGAATTTGGAATTCTTAGAAATTCCAAGGTGCCATAAGAAATCAGACTCATGCTCAGAAGTGGGTGGGCGAAGCACAATTGTCCTTCTCAGTGGTAGAGCACTTGCCTCGATCACGTGAGGCCCTGGGTTCATTCCCCAGCACCACATAAAAATAAATGACTAAGTAAATAAAATAAAAGATAAAATCTGAGTGGGCACAGAAAAGGGCTACAGTGTGACTGGACACCTGTTAGGGGATTTAAAAATGGCTCCACGCTGCCCAACATGAAACTCGCATGTCACGTGTGTCACGGTGAACACACCTGTGTAACATTACGGATTTAACTTTGATAGAAAAGACAATTCTTACAACTTCCCCCTCTTATATTATCCATATGTAAATCATCTTCTTCAAGTTTGGATACCATCTTTTGACACTTATGTTCAACTGTGTCTAATACTAAAGGATCATTTTGATATAAGACCAGAGTCTGTTGAGAGCCGTCTCCATCAGTCACTGAATGAGACCCTCCCACACACGGAATCACATACCATCGAACTGGATCCATTGCTCCCAATACAACAACTAATGGGGCAATAATAGATGTGATTGGTTCTTTCCATATTATTCTTTAAAAAATTTTTTTTGAAGTCATAGATGGACCCAGTGTCTTATTTGTTTATTATTTATGTGGTGCTGAGGGTCAAACCCAGGGCCTCACAGATGCTAGGTAAGTGGTCTGCCGCTGAGCCCCAGCCCTAGCCCTAGATGTTATTATTTAGTAACGTCTATTAAAAAAAAAGTAACATCTATTTTTTTTTGTAATTCCCTTGAGAGCCTCTCAAATATCAACCCCCTGTTGATTATCATCAATGTAATTAATCCAGTCTGTTTTTGTTTATCATAGATCACCAAAAAAGAACTGATTTAAAATGTGCTGTTATCTGATTTTTGGCTTTGAGCTGATTAGGAATCCCTTGAGATATCCCGATGGAATTTATATGAATATGGGGGGTCACATGACCCTGAGGAAGAGCGAGCCATCTTTTCCCCAGAGAACTGGGAATTGGTCTAAGTGGTCTGCTGCCCATGTGGGTCCTCTAATCAAGGGCTTCAGGTTTATTAAAGTTTTGAGTTTCTCTGGAACCCAGTTTTGCCTAATCCCAGAGGATAAAGGGCGGAGGGGGAGGAAAGGGAACTGGCCTTTTCCTCCCTGGGGAAGGAAACCTTGAACACCCCATTTGCATTGTTCTAATTCTTTTTAATCTAGGCAGGGAAGGGTCTGGCACTGGCCCAGGGGCAGAAGCCTGCAGCTGCTCCGTTTCCTTTGCATCCTCTTTTGACACACTCCGGGGGCAGGAGATGGATTCGGTTGCAGCAGGGTTTGAGTCCACAGGAAGGTAGAGCGGGGGAGTTAAGGGATCCCATGTGTTTGATTCGTCCTTCTGGGTCTCACCATCTTTAGTCATCTTAAGAAGAACAAGGACTTTGGGCCTCTTTCTCTCCAAGACAGCATAAACTACCTCTTCTTGACTAAGAGGGCCTTTGTCATTTATTCTATCAATAATTGACAGACCCGATCTTCATCTGTCTCAAACTTTGGTCAGCATACGGATGGCTTTAGTTTGGCGGCTGAGTCCAAATAAAACAACAGTATTTTATCATCTTTGCTTTCTCCTTCTCTTCTGTCCTAGGGTACCTTTCCAATACTTTAACCTGCGGCCTAGAGGGCTACCGGGGGAACTCTGGTGTCCTTTCCCCTGCCCGGCACCCTCTTTCCCTGGAGTAGCTTTTATTTTCCATCCTGTCCCCTGGGTATGATCTTGTGTTCCTGAGCCTCCGGAGGTGTAGCCGCCCTCGGTTAGGGAGGACTCCTGCCCCTCCCCAGCCGCCCCCTGACTCTGGCCTGCTCCCCCGGGCTTTGCCCACCGACTCCTCCGCAGCCAGGACTTGGAGCACACGCATGCGCACTCGCCTCCCATTCTGGGGGCCACCAGGACAGCGCTCCTCCCCAGCTCGGGTTATTCCCTGGACTAAGGTGCTTGCCAGAGCCCTTCCTCGCGGTGCTGACTCACCTTCGATTTAGGGTCTGCTGTTGGCCTCGGAGTCTCAGCTTTCTCCCCCACCCAGCAAGGCAGCTGGTGTCTCCTCCAAGAAGGGGGTCCCCAGCACCCCCAGGCATGTATGGAGCCCCAGCTGAGCGCCAAGAAATCAAATATGGGACAAAGAATAACTGTCTATAACCACCCACTGTTATATTAACCCCCACTGAGTATAAATGGAAAAGAATTTCCAGACCTGGGGTCCAGAGATTTTTTTGGCATTAGCCCCTCTGGACCGCAGCAGCTTAAATAAGCCTGCTTCCTGGGAATTCCTGGGTGTCCA